TCGGAGGCAGACACACTAATACACGCTCAGGCACAGACACACCCAGAAACACTCATTCACTCTCGCACGGAATCAGACATCCTTAGGCACCTGGGAAACATTTAGACGATATATATCAAAATCAGAGACACTCGAGAAGAGTGAGGTAATTTTGCAGAATGTCTCGCACTCTCGCACACATTGAGACACAGTAAGAAAAACTCGGAGAGGCTCTCAATTATTCAGAAAAAGATACATGTTCGCACAGAGCCTTAAACTCCTGAGTAGGAGAAACTCACTCTGCTTCTCACACACAGTGAGGGACACTCGCATACACTCTCACACACTTTTCCTCAATTAAATCTCGGATATACCGTCTCCCGTAGGGTTCCGAAAAAATTCAGGAAAAAATCAGACAAATTGCGAAACACTCCAAGACCTGTTCAGTGTGTGCGCGTTTGTCTGATTGTGCGTGTGTTGGAGTGTCGGCGAGCTCGTGCAGTCATGTTCGTGTTTCCTGTGTTGTAATAAGTGCGAATAACCCTTACTTGTTGAGAATGTCCGTGAGGTTGCGTAATTTCAGCCAAATGTGTGAGAGTGTGTCTGACCATCTGTAAGTGTGGACGAGTGTTCCTTAGCCTGTCTGATTTTCTGTGAATGTGTGCGAGTGTACCTCGATGTGTTTCAGTTGTCGAGTTTTTCTTGGTTTGTCTTCATTACTGCCTGTGTCTGGTTGCAGCAATGCTGTACGATAATTTGCGAGAGGATGTGTGCGTGTTTGTGAGCCTGTCTGCCTGTAAGATTATCTTGTTTTTTTCTTGGGTGTTATTGTGTGTCTGGGTGTGTCATAGTGTGATCACGGGTGCGCCAAATTTAGTTAGTTTTTGCGAGTGTGTCTGAGGTTCTTCGATTTTATCTCTTTTTCGGCCCCTCATTGCTCCTTTGTGTTAGTGTGTAGGAGGTTACCCAGCTGCATACGATTTTTTCCACACTGCGTTTTGTGTTTTTGGGAGGGCGTTTGTTAAAATTTTTCTTTTCGTGTGCAGTTTGTGTGAGGGTGTCTCGGTGTTTCTGACTCTGCCTTTTTGTGTTTCTGTGTATTTGCATGTGTTGGTTTGTGTCTGGTTATTTGTAAAACTATGTGGCTGAGTCCTAGTAAGCCCAGGTGTGTACGAGTTTGTATATTTTCAAGGATCTCCGGGAGATTGCGAGTGTGTTTTGGTGTGTTATGCTTGTGCAGCAGTGTTTTGGTGTTCTCCCATGTACCCGGGTCTCTTGGTCTTTACAAAGCTGTGGATGGGTGTGCTCGTGTGTTCTTGTGCGTGTACAAGTAAGCCTGAGTGTGCTCGGGTTTGCACGAGTGCGAATGGTTGCCTTTGGCTGAAGCTGGGTGTGTTTTGTTCCGTAAGGGTTTACTTCGTTGTTCTCGGCTGTACAGGGTGTTTTTCGGTGCGCTCACCTCTGCACCCCCGTGCAAACAGAAGAACACGCGACCAGAGAATGACTGACATGACAGCCAGGAAAGAAAGCCCTGAGCCCTCCATCTCTTTTCTGCTTCTGCGCCACTCTCTGCACTACATCTACAGCATGCTCTTTCTGCCCGGATATTTTTGCTCTAGGAGGAATATATTTCCGTTTTTAATTTTGACACTCGGACTTCAACTTTCAGGACAGCTGGCTTCCAACAGAACGAGTGCCCTTCGAGGAAGGAAAGAAAGCCCTGACCCTCCGTCTCTCCTCTGCAGTTGCTGTGCAGATTTCCTCACTATGTGCACAGCAAGATCTTTCTGAGGAGGGACATTTCTTCTGGTACAAATCTTCTTCCGTATTAAATTTTGGTCCCCGCACAGCTCCTGGTTTCGCAGTGTGCCTACCTGCAAACAACTGCCATTCCAGCCAAGAAAGAAAGCCCTGTTGCTCCGTCTCAGCTGTGCATTTTTTTCTCCACTCTCGGCACAACAGGCACAGCAAGCGCTATCTTCACGACAATTTTGTTCTTAAGGAATCTGCCCCTGACGAAAACTCGTGGTGTGCACCTAGTGCTGTTATTAGCTCACCAACGGCACTTGAGAGACAGAGGGTCAGACCTCTCTTTCCTGCTTAGAAGGGCAGTGGTTCACCTGCCGATTTCCACGGGTGCTCCCGAGTGAACTCACCCAACACACGTCAGAACACACAAAGACACTCGTTCACCCTCGAACACACTTGTGCGCTCCAGAATACACACTGGAAGACAAAAGCAGAGCCTTGCACACCTGGGCACTCCCGTGAACACAGCACAACCAGGCATACATACGCACATTATTTTTTACCCTCACACAAGCAGAAAAACCAAAAGTCACTGGGAAATACTCACACACAAACATTCGCACACACTAAGAGAGTGTGTAGGTGTGTGTATTTGTGTGTGAGAAAGATTTTGTGACTTCTTATAGGTGTGTTTCACTGTGAGTTCTTGCGGGTGTATTTTGATTTTCTCCGGTGTGCTCGGGTGTACAGAGGTATGCTTGGTTTTGCTCTCATGTACTCGCGTCTGTTTTGTTGTGCAGGGACGCACTTGGATGTACTCGAGTGTTATCTGCTCTGCACGTGTGTTCTTTTTTGTGTTCCGGTGTGCAGAGGTGAGCATACCGAAACACACCAGTGCAAGCCTGCCGGCGAACGACCTACTATCCAACCAGGAATAAAATCCATGATCCTTTGTCTCTCCTGAGAGGTTGTTGCGCCATTATTAGAGCAGCATATATGTAATGCTCTTTCTCTCTGGGCACCTTTGCTCTGGGAGGAATACACATACAATTTTGACCCTCAGACGCTAACCTTTCTCGTCTCCTATCCGTTACAGGTAAGCTCACGCCACACAAGGCTGAGCATCCTCATGCTCAAAAACTGAACGCCGAATTCTCGGACCCAAAAATCACATCGCCCATGCCACGCCTAGTGGCGACACACCCTCTTGTTTCTTCTGCTCTGCTTTCCTCCGATTCTGCTGGACACCCTGTCTTTTGGCGTCTGAAAAACAAAGGACCCTTCAGCTTACCTAAGAAGTTCAATGAAAACTCAATGAACATTTTCATTGCTGTTAAGGTCCATCAGGAAATCATGGTTAGCTACATTCTGCATTCATCTTCATGGCCAGTCTTCGCCAACGAAGATTTGAGAATGGCCTCTACCCGCTTTTGCTACAAGCGCGGTGGTGACACAGGGCTTCAAAAAGGCGGGTAAAGCCATCGAGCTTGCGCAATGGAATTTTTTTAGGTGAGACTCTATGCGCTGAACTGAGCCTACCCTTTAAACCTCAGGTTCATCTACTGGAGACGAGCGAGTTTGAACGGTGGCAGCCAGGTCCTCAGGACATAGGTTTGGTTTGAAGTGATCCTCCCTTAGATGGACTGCCTTTCAAGGCTGAACGACTTCCATGTGCCCGGATTTAGAATTAGCCTTCTCTTTTGCATTAATACCTGTATATCAAAAACAAAAACTCATGGCCTTGCCGGGTAGTTACCATCATCTCAACAAAACCCTGCTCTCAGGACTGCACTCAGAAGGACCATGGGTGCCCCATCCCCAAGAACTAGACAGTCATTATATCAGACAGAGAAGTGAAAGCACGAGGACTCTCATATCTACTCCACCTACCTCCCCCTCATCTACACGCAAGGGCAGTACAACTCCAGGACAAACACACGCACATCTGACACAGAACGCGACAAACGTGCAGCTTGTCCAAGATAAGGGCCATCCACGGTAAAGGAGGGGGTATTGTTCTTCGCATCATCCCAGTNTGAGGCCTGCACCATTATGACATGTCTGGGCTTTATAACATCACTGTGATGATGAGGCCTGCACCATTATGACGTGTTTGGGCTTTATGAGGTCAATGTGATGTTTGCCATGCGGGGACATCCATGAATAGCGAGTGCTTTCTGTCCTGTCATATTTGTTGTGGGAGGAATTTTTGTTTACATGCAATTTTTGGAGTTGTTCTGGCAGTTGGGAGGCAGGTCTGAAAACAGGAAACAATAGCCCTTATCGGCGGGAAAGAAAGACTGGAAGTTTTGACTTTGTGGTGCTTTTGGTTTGTCAGCCTCGAGACTCCATTGGGAGCAAGAGCTTTCTGTGCTGGCGTATTTGGCATGGGAGGAATCTTTGACCGTATGCAATTTTGGGAGTCGGTCTGGTAGTTGGGAGGCAGGTCTGAAAACAGGAAATGACAGCCCTTATCCCCATGAAAGAAAGCCTGGAAGCTTTACCTTTGTGGTGCAGCTGGTGTGTCGTTCTGGGCACTCCATGGGGAGGAAGAACTTTCTGTGCTAGCCTCTTTGGTGTGGGAGGAATCTTTGTTTATATGCAATTTTTGGAGTCGGGCTGGCAGTTGGGAGGCAGGTCTGAAAACAGGAAATGACAGCGCTTATCGGCAGGAAAGAAAGCCAGATTTCTTCAGCTTTGCGGTGGAGTTCGTTTGTCAGCCTAGGGAGTACATGAGCAACAACAGATTTCTATGCTATCACCTCATCATCACAATGACCTCATAAAAGCGAGACATGTCATAATGGTGCAGGCCTCATCATGGCACTGACCTCATAAAGCCCAGACACGTCATAATGGTGCAGGCCTCATCATGGCACTGACCTCATAAAGCCCAGACACCTCATAATGGTGCAGGACTCATCATCACACTGACCTCATAAAGCCCTGTAGAAAATATTGCAGAAACATGGTTGATGGAAAGAGGACATGAGAGAGAAGCAATAGCTCTGGTCCCACGGTAAAAGTGCTGGTCTCTCTGTAAAAGTGTCTATTAGAAGACAACTGTATGTGTGAAACTGACTACGTGATAGAAAAATACAATAAAACAGATGGGAAAGTAGAGTAAATAGCAAACAAATAACCATAAGAAGGTTAAAGAATTAGCATTTGCGTAAATATAATTAGGTAATTGTTAACCAATGATGAGCTTAGATTTTGTAATATGCATGAGGCTAATTAAGTACCCTATATAAGCACGAAGCACGCAGCAATAAAGTTTGGATAAGTTATTGATCAATTTTGTGGTCTAAAAGTGTCTTTATCCCGTCGTCTACAACAAATGGTGTCCCCGCGACGTGATTAAAAGGACTAAAAAGAAGGCTTCTCGGCTAAAAAGAAGGCTTCTTGATTAAAAAGGGATTTACGAAAACGGGGGAATCACGGTTGAGATGGCATGGTGTCGGAGCCTTAGTGGCGAGGCTGGTCAAAAATTGGCATAAAGGTGCAACTTCGGACCCGGAGTGCTGTATAGACAAGCTCTGCCGTACGTGCTGCCGGACCTTGAAAGGCTGCAACAGCGCGCTGACATAGGTATGAAAAGACAAGCAGTATATAGTTTATTTTCTGAATTTTTACAGAAAAAAGGTGTTAAGTATTTATATTTAAAAAAGGAACTTCCTGGGTTACTTGAATATGGTAATGAAAAAGGGTGTTTTGTTAATCCTCATACTGTGCATTCCGTAGAGGAGTGGTGCAAATTTGGTGATAAAATATGGGAGGCTCTTTTAGATGAGGATAAAGTTGCAAAAAAGCTAGGAAAGCTTTGGAGGGTGGTTTATAATACATTGTTGCAACATGAAGCAGAACGCCAAGCGGCAGAACAAGCACTAAATATGAGACAGCAGAACAAAGAGTATAAAAATTTTGATTGGTTTTCTTATAAACCTTCTCCCCCAGCTATGCAGACAGTTCACCTCCCCGCTGTGCCCCCTGATCTTTCTAAAATAAATACAGACGGGTTGCTAGAATCAAAGACACCCGCAGCTCCTACTGCACCACCTCCCCTGGCCGATACACCCAGCGGTCAGACCGACCCTGAGCCCACGCCTCCTCCTCCTGCTCACTCGACCAAAGAGCCTGTCCCTGGGGCATTCAGTGACTCGGTGGAGGCCGTGGTAAAAGAGCGGAGAGAAACTTGGGCTGCATTTGCTAAACACTGTCTGGAACAGGGTGATTCTCATGGGTTGCAGGTTGTAGATTCCTATGCTTTTCCCGTTACTTATAATCAGGATGGGCAAGGAGGAATAACTGCTGCTATTATTCCATTAGATTGGAAATTCTTAGCACAATTGCGAAGTACAGTCAATGAGTTTGGATTACATTCTGAACCAACTAAACAAATGTTAGATTATTTTTGGTGTACATATCTTTTATTGCCATCTGATCTCCGATCTATAACTCGTATGATATTGACTGAACATCAACAATTGTTATTTAATGCATATTGGCAAGTATTAGTTAATGAAAGTGTAGCGGCACAACGGCCTCCCGGAGATCCTTTACATGGTGTCACTATAGAAGAATTAATGGGTATGGGACCATTTACACGCCCTGAGGCACAAGTTCATCTTGGCCCAGATAAAATTAGGGAGGCAATGGATCTTGTTAGAAGGGCTTTAGACAGAGTTAAGGAGCCAGGATGAGTACCTTTGTATATGAGCTTAAAACAAGGAAAGAATGAATCATTTGGGGAGTATGTTGACAAATTAACAGCTGCTATCACTCGAGCAGGAGTACCAGATTATATGAAAGGAACTATGTTAAAGCAATATGTGTTGCAAAATGCTACTTCTGCAATTAAGCAAATAATAAGTACAATGGGTCCTTATTGGACTATTGAGGAGTTATTAGAAAAAGCATTAGTACTTCCTACAGGAGAGAATGCATTTTTAGTTAATGCTATTCAAGATTTAGCTAAGGGACTTAAGGAGCAGGCTCAGAGTTCTCAAGCTCAAGTTCCAGCTGCTCTTGCACCCCTTCAAGTGAAAGCACATAATTTTGCAGAAGAAAAAGCTCGATCAAAATGTTACCGGTGACGAGTGCCCTTCGAGCAAGGAAAGAAAGCCCTGACCCTCCGTCTCTCCTCTGCACTTGATTCGTAGATTTCCTCACTACGTGCACAGCAAGATCTTTCTGTGGAGGAACATTTCTTCTGGCAGAAATCTTCTTCCTTATTGAATTTTGGCCCCGTAGAGCTCCTCGCTTCGCAGTGCTCCTACCTGCAAACAACTGCCATTCCAACCAAGAAAGAAAGCCTTGTCGCTCCGTCTCAACTGTTCAGTTTTTTCCTCCACTCTCGGCAAAACAGGCACAGCTAGCACTATTTTCCCCGGCACTTTTGCTCTTAAAGGAATCTGCCCCGGTCGAAAACTCTTTGTGTGCACCCAGTGCTGTTATTGGCGCACCAACGGCACTTGAGAGACAGAGGGTCAGACCTCTCTTTCCTGCTTGGAAAGGCAGTAGTTAACCTGCCGATTTCCACGGGTGCTCTCGGGTGGTCTCCCGAGTTAACTTACCAAAAACACCTCGGAATTCACAAACACACTCCTTCACCCTCGAACACACTTGTGCACACCAGAATACACACTGGAAGACAAAAGCAGAGCCGTGCACACCTGAGCAATCCCGTGAACACAGCACAACCAGGCATACTCATACACATTATTTTTTACCCGCACACAAGCAGAAAAACCAAAAGTCACTCGCAAACACTCACACACAGACTTCAGCACACACTAAGAGAGAATAAACAGAACGTTTTATTTTGGTGTAGTTGTGTGTATCTGTGTGTGAAAAAGTGTTTGTTACTGCTTACACGTGTTTCACTATGAGTGTCTGCGTGTGTATTTTGATTTTCTCTGGTGTGCTCGCGTATGCTCTGATATACTCGCATCTGTTTTTTGTGCAGGGACGCACTTGGATGTACTCGAGTGTTTTCAGGTCTGCACGTGTGTTCTTTGTTGTGTTCCGGTGTGCAGAGGTGAGCATACCGAAACGCACCTCTGCAAGCCTACCGGCGAACGACCTACTATCCAATCAGGAAAGAAATCCGTCATCTTTTGTCTCTCCTGAGCGGTTGTTGCGCCATTCTCAGAACTACATTTATATAATGCTCTTTCTCTCCGGGCACCTTTGCTCTGGGAGGAATATACTTCCTTATACAATTTTGACCCTCGGAGACTAGCCTTTTTCGTCTCCTATTCGGTACAGGTAGCCCACGCCACACAAGGCTGGTAATCTTCACGCTCAAAAACTGAAAGCGAAACTCACGGACCCTAAAATCACATCGCCCATGCCACGCCGAGTGGTGACCCACCCTCTTGCCCTTCTGCTCTGCTTTCCTCCGATTCTGCTGGACACCCTGTCTGCTGGCCTCTGAACAAAACAAAGGACTCTTCAGCTTATCTAAGAAGCTCAATGAAAGCTCAATGAGCCTTTTCATAGTTCTCAAGGTCAGTCAGGAAAACCAGGTCAGCTACATTCTGCATTCATCTTCATGGCCAGTCTTCGCCAACGAAGATTTGAAAAAGGCCTCTATCCGTTTTTGCTACGAGCGCGATGGTGATTCAGGGCTTTGGAAAGGTGGGTAAGGCCTTCGAGCTTGCGCAATGGATTTTTTTAAGATGATACTCTATGAGCTGAACTGATCCTACCCTTTACACCTCAGTTTCATCTGCTGGAACCGAGCAAGTTTGGACGGTGGCAGCCAGGTCCTCAGGATGCAGGTTTGGTTTGAAGTCATTTTCCCTTAGATGGATGGCCTTACAAGGCTGAACGAGCTCCATGTGCACGGATTTAGAGTTGTCCTTCAATTTTGCATTAATACCTGTAAATCAAAACAAAAACTCATGGCCTTGCCAGGCAGATCCCATCATCTCAACAAAAACCTGCTCTCAGGACTGCACTCAGAATAACCATGGCTGCCCCATCCCCAAGAACTAGACAGCCATCACCTCAGGCAGAGAAGTGCAAGCACGAGGACTCTCATGTCTACTCCACCTACCTCTCCCTCATCTACACGCAAGGGCAGTACAAGTCCAGGACAAACACACGCGTATCTGACAGAGGACAAGACAAACTTGCGGCGTGTCCACGACAACGGCCATCCATGGTAATGGAGTGGGTATTGTTCTTCGCATCATCCCAGTCTTCCATCCACATAACGTTTGTGGCACGTCCCTCTCTGCTGTTTTGACAGGTCCTTCATTTTCAAGGCAATAATCTTGGGGTCTTTTCGCAGGCTTCCTTAGGGCATTCTCTGCTCGCCGTCGCAGTTGCTTAGGTCTTCACGCTAAACAGTGTCTCGATTCTTGGAGTACTGCTTCTTACTCAGAGCATTCTCTCCTCATTGCGCCACAGGTTTGTCGTGTGTCTGAGTGTGTTGGGTGTGTTCAGGTCTTTCTGTGTGGGCAAAAATGCCTGTGTCTGGCTGTGCGCGAGTGCTTCTGTGTGTCTCTGTGTGCCTTAGCATGTTCTGAGTGTGTTTGAGTGTGTCTGAGTGGGGTTGACTGCGTTTGAGTACGGGTGAGAGTGTTTGAGTGTGTCTGAGTGTACCAGAGTACCAGAGTGTTTCTGAGTGCGTGTGAGGATACCTAAGTGTGTCTGAGTGTTTGGAATTGCGCATGTCTGAGTGTGTAAGTGTGCGTCTGAGCGCGTGAGTTGGTCTGAGTGTATGCGAGGGTGTTCAAGTGTGTATGAGTGTTTGGAGAGTTTTGTTCTGTGTGCTAGTGTGTCTGAGTGTGTCTGGGTGTGTTCGAGTGTTTCTCTGTATGCCTGGTGTGCCTGAGCATGTATTTATGTGCAGGGCTGTGTGCGAGCCTCTTTGAGTGTGTCTGAGTGTGTGAGAATGTGTCTGTGTTTGCGCGATTGTGTCTGAGTATGCCTGAGTGTGGCTGAGCGTTAATTTAGCTGTGTGAGTGTTTCTGAGTGTTTGCAGGTTAGTCTCATTGAGTGCTAGTGTGTGCAGGTGCATCTGAGTGTGCTTGAGTCTCTATGATTGTGTCTTAGTGTGTCTCAGTGTGTAAGAGTGTACCTTACTGTGTCAGTGTCTGAGTGTGTCTAGATGTGTCTGAGTGTGTCTGAGCATGTCTGAGTGTGTCTGTGTTTGTGCGTCTGTGCCTCAGTGTGCCTGAGCATGTAGTTATAGGTCTGATTGTTTCCAAGTGTTTACAGGTGTGTATGAGTGTGCGTGAGCGTTTGCAGTTATGTATGTGTGTCTGAGCATGTGTGAGTGTAACTGACAATCTCTGAATATGTCTGAGTTTGTGCGAGTGTGTCTGTGTCTGAGTGTGTCTGAGTGTGTCTAAGTGCGTGTGAGTGTCTTTGAGTGAGTCTGGGTGTGCTGGAGTGTTTCTGAGTTTGTTGGAGTGTATCTGAGTGTGTCTGGGTGTGTGCGAGTGTGTCTCAGTGTGCGTGAGTGTGCCTTACCATATATTTATGTGTCTGACTGTTTCTCAGTGTTTGCAGGTGTGTCTGAGTGTATGTGATTGTGTCTGAGTGTTTCTGTGTCTAATTGTGTCTGGCTTTGTGAGGGTGTGTCTGAGTGTGTCTGAGAATATCTGTGTGTGTGCGAATGTGTCTGAGTGTGTGCGAGTGTGTCTGAGTGTGTCTAAGTGTGTCTGGCTTTGTTAGAGTGTGTGAGTGTGCCTGAGAATATCTGTGAGTGTGCGAATGTGTCTGGCTGTATGCGAGTGTGTCTGAGCATGTCTGAGCGTATCTGATTGTGAGTGTATGTGTCTGGGTATGTGCGAGTGTGTCTAAGTGTATCTGAGTGTGCAAGTGTGTTTGCAGTTTTGTCTGAGCAGGTGTGAGTGTTTGCGAGTGTTTCTGAGTGTGTCTAAGTGTGTCTGAGTGTGTCTAAGCGTGTCTGAGCGTATCTGAGTGTGTCTGGGTGCGTGCGAGTGTGTCTGAGTGTGCCTCAGTTTGCCTGAGCTTATATTTATGGGTCTGACTGTTTCTCAGTGTTTGCAGGTGTGTCTGAGTGTATGTGATTGTGCCTGAGTGGGTCTGAGTGTGTCTAAGTGTGTCTGTCTTTGTGAGAGTGTGTCTGAGTGTGTCTGAGAATATTTGTGTGTGTGCGAATCGGTCTTGGTGTGTGCGAGTGTGTCTGAGTGTGCCTGAGTGTGTTTGAGAGTTTGTGAGTGTTTCCGAATGTCTGAGAGTGTGTCTGAATGTGTGCAAATGTGTGTCTGGATGTCTGGGAGTATGCTTGAATGTGCCTGAGTGTGAGTGTGTTTGAGTGTGCTCAAGTGTGTCTGAGAGTGTGCGAGTGAGTATCAGTGTGTGTGAGTGTGTGCGAGTGTGTCTGAGCGTATCTGAGTCTGCCTGAGTGTGCGTCAGTGTGTGTGTGATTCTGTGCGAGTGTGTCTGAGTGTGTCTAAATGAGTCTGAGTGTTTCTGAGTGTGCCTGAGTGTGCGTGATTGTGTGTGAATGTTTCTGAGCGTGTCTGAGTGTGTCTGAGTGTGTGGGTGTGCAGGATTGTGCTTGAGTGTGTCTGGATGTTCTTAAGTGTGTCTGGCTGTGTGTGAGTGTGTCTGAGTGTGTCTGAGCGGATCTGAGTGTGAGCAAATATGTCTCGGTGTGTCTAAGTGTTTCTGAGTGTGTGCAAGTGTGTCAAAGTGTGTCTGAGTGTGTTCAAGTGTGTCTGACTGTGTCTGAGTGTGTGTGAGTGTATGAGTGTGTCTGAGTGTGTCAGCATCTCTCACTGTGCCTGAGTGTTTCTGAGCATGTCGGAGTGTATCTGAGTGTGTTTGGGTGTGTGGGACTGTACTTGAGTGTGTCTGAGTGTGCACAAGTGTGTCTGGCTGTGTGCGAGTGTGTCTGAGCCTGTCTGAGTGTGAGCGACGGTTTCTCAGTGTGTGAGAGTATGTCAAAATGTGTCTGAGTGTGCGAGTGTGTTTGCAGTTGTGTCTGAGCATGTGCGTGTGTGTCTGAGTGTTTCTGAGTGTGTCTGAGCATGTCCGAGCGTGCCTGAGTGTGTCCATGTGTGTTACTGTGTGTGAGTGTGTGCGAGTGTGTCTGAGTGTTTCTGGGTGT